CCCCCCCCCCCCCCCCTCCCCCTTTATCCCGCTGGCGCCCCGGGCGATCGCCCGCCCCTAGAAACGGCCCTGCCTGCCAGCATTTACTAATGATTACCGAAACACCAAGACTTTGCTCCTAGGCACCCTCGGTGTCAATCAGTTTGGTTGAAATTGACGACTGTAGTAGTGGTGGCGGTTTGCAGATCTCAGAAAGATCTGAAATAGCGTGATGAAACCTGGTACAGGCGGCCCGGGGAAAGCGGGGGGCTGATTTAAGAATTCTTGCGTGCGTGCGACCTCACCCTTGGAGGTGGTGATTCGTAGAGGGGAAACCCCATTTCCTGATATGTAACTACATCGTGCCCTTTAATTGTATTGCCGCAAGCTATTTTACTTTTTGAAATGTTTACATCATATTCCTGTATGGCAAATTCTAATTAAGCTGAGATTAAGTTTAACTTAAAAAACAGGTCTAGTCCTAAGACCATCACGAAATTGTTTTATTATTACGCCCTTGGGATGCTTTTGTTCAAGCCACGTTCGAACTAAACTATTTCCCAGTAATGCCAGTACCATAAACTTAACCTTCATCGGACGAGTAGGTCAAGTTTTCCCGCAATATGTTCCTCTCTTCGGCTGATCGGGACATATGTACCACTGAAAATCCCTATAGTTTTGGCACGGTGTGTATATTTTGTTTTCAACCAACTTTCGTCTATCCCAGGGGTCGGGAACCTATGGCTCATGAGCCAAATTTAGCTTACGAGCCGAAAAGTTTGGCTCATCGAGTCATGGTTGAATATAATGGTTGTTCCTCATGTATCAAAGAATGCACACCTCTGTTTGTCAACTTCAGGGAAAATTATGTTGTTCTGAAAATCTTTTGCTCACAAGCACTTAGCTCAACCTTAATATGGCTCACTCTCCCAAAAAGGTTCCCGGCCCCTGGTCTATCCCTTTGTATTGGGTCCTGAGAACTGATGAGGGGTCATTCATGAATGAAAGTCATGTGACGACACTCAACACTGACGAGAAAAACAGTTTTCTTTTAGTGTATCAACCATATGCTTTTCTTGTACGTTTTCTTTTTCTTCTTATACAGGCTTGTACGTGTGAAATTTGTCTACAGCTAAATCAATTTATGCTGTCCAATCTGGTATTTATTTCCTTATGCTAGCTCGAAATATGAAAATATTTTTCTTTTACTTGACACCTTAGGAATTGTAGGGCGTATTCGAATTCCGCCTTCAGGGGAGGCAAGCATTTAAAAAGCCCGTACATAAAAAGTTCTATATTCTTCCCACTATCATAGCAAGAGGATAATGGACCAGTTACCTTTGGCTGGGACTGAAATAAATCCAGTTTCATACCAATCACATTTTCACTTGCAATTTGTATACTGGAAATGTACCCCAGGTGACATCAAGAACAGCTTTATCAAAAGGTTCAGAGGCAATTTATTTTATATCCATGGGTTTACAAACGATTTTTTTTTTAGATTCTGTAGCTTTACAGCCACTGAAACCCTCCCACAGAACTGGCTAGACTGTAGGAAATAACCACACATGGTATATGCATTCATTGTTTATTTACTCTAGTGAAATGGAGAAAAACTAAATATCCCCAGCTTCTAGAACGGAGCCTTGGACACTCTTGAGGCCTCCTGAAACCTGCTCAGGAAAGAACATGGGCACTGTTGGGAATGTGAAAAACATCAAAGACAAGGATGGATGGAAAGAGATCAAAAGATATTGCAAATGGGTTGGTGGAAACCCTCAAGTCTACATAATCCCACCCATCTGTTGCTTCTCACACATCACAGGGACAACAATTGGCATGAGAACTAGCACAAAGCACTTCTGACTACTCCACACCCTCGTCTTAAACTTGGAAAAATTAAAATAAGGTCTGTTCTGTCCCATGTATATACACTAAGAAATTGGAATATCAGTCCTGTCTTGAAAGACACAATTTTTTTGGGCTTCATGAGATATCCGATTATGCCTGATCCAGAGGGCATCACAATGGCAGTTTGCCACAAACTAATTCGCCACTGAGGTAAATGCAGCATGCTTGTCAGGACATCCAGATCTTCCTGGAACTCAGCATTGGATGGCACTTTGAGGAATGTCTTGGTCCAATGCTCTGCACAATTGCAAATCAAAGCCCAGTCCCATTCCTGGAACCTTGTCAGGCTGAATGTCTAATGCAGATCACTTCCTTCGGGTAAGGAGACATTCTGTTGAGATAGTGGGGACAATCAGGCTGGAGACAAGTCAGTATCACAGGTAAGGTTGGGCATGCTTTGCCCTGCATGTTGCATAGTTCATTCCCCAGTGCATTGTTTCCAGACAGTTCCATACATAGCCATTGTTCCTTTTCAAGCACCACACATTTCCCAGAAACCTCAGACAAGTGGCAACATGGGACAGAAGATGTGGGGTATAGGTTGCAGACATGATTGAGGAAAATGAGATAAATCAGAACTTCATCTACTACCATTATTACTAACATCACATGCATTGCTGCTTGCAAATCCAGTTTACTGCATGTAAAGAGCAATCCTTCCCAAATACTTTATGGGTTCTTCAAGTTGCAGTGAGTTTCTCATAGATGATGAACACCAAACAAATGTTAGGTGTCACATGCATGAGATATGGAGCAAGCCCCTTGTAGAACCCTCGTAGGCCTTCATGTCTGAAAGTCTTTGTGACAACATCTCCCATGCCTTTATAGTCTTTGTATTGGTCTTGCATACGTGCACGCACAACCTGATAGGGGTAAGTGATGACAGCAGCTAGGACTTTTGAAGCTGCAGCACATCCAAGGTACTCCGAAGTAGTCTGAAAAGAATTTTGTAAAATTACAAAATAGTTGAAATATGGCACAAGAAATAAGTACTTTGAATCTAACTCAACAAATTGAAAACGCTGTGGGTCTAGTTAAGTGCAAGTCTCCTTTAAAGCAGAGATTTATAATATTAAAATAAAAAATAAATTTATTTTTTAAGGTTACAGGATCCTTCTAATTCAATGATTGATGGCATCCTGATGGATGCCCAGGCACATATGACAAGGGTCCAAAATTCAAAGAATGAGAAGGCACTGTAAATAAACACCCATCTGGTTCTGTTCCAAGAACCATGCTCTTTATGAGGTAACATTTTTGCATGTTCTCAGAACAGTTCAAGAGTTCTCAAATAAGGTTTCTTCAAATCTCTCAGGATAGGACAGGAAATTAATGTCAATCCTACTCAAATTGACAGTTTTACACATCTGATCAAGGTCATAGTGAGAGACTCACCAGCTTCTGATTTGGCGGTCTCTTTTGACGGATGTTATACAGGGTTTTCATCTCTTCATAAGCCACAAACTGAATAGCTCCATGAACAACACCACAGAAGCCTGGCACCAAGCCCTAACAATACAGCACAAAAAAAGAGTCCCAATTGTTAGAAAATTTGAACAGGAAATTGCAAGCAGTTAAAAAATTGAAATAAAAATCAGCTGGAAAAAAAAAGGAGAGATGTGATTGCATTTCACCTTGAACAGACCACGGAGTCCTTCAAATTTGTATATCTTGAAGAATGCATCAAGGGAGTTTGAGTAGTGAAGGCTGTGTGCACCATGGGTAGCCATTATTGCACGAGGACTTTCCTTCTGAATGATGAGTCTGAAAAGTAAATAATTCATTAAATTTGCTCAATTATAATTAAATTGTGCTTTAATGAACCAGAAATAACAGCTGAGTATCACAAGTCTGACAAGGAATAATATCTTTTTAGGAAGTCAGGAAGACCCACAATCTAGGATTTAACCACCCAAAATCATCTCAAAAAAGGTTGTGACTGTTCACCTTGTCTTCACAACTGTGATGGGATTCAAGACAACCAAGGAGACCACTCCACCCCATGTTGCAGCCAGTAGGTGGTGTACATGTCTCATCCTGTTATCTTCAATCTCATTGCCAGTCTTCAGCATTGCCTTCAAGCCATTGTACCTAAATAAGAAACAGTTCCAAGTCAAAGCACAAATGTATAGGCATAATGTTTTACTTGGTGAACTAGTTTCAAATGCGCAATCCATTCCCGGGAAAAATGGCACAAGAGAAAACAAGAGATCCACTTACGACCAGAAGTACAGGCCCCAGCCCATCCCAGCTGTGACTACATTTGGAGTCACACCTCGATAAAGGCCAGCTATTCCCTCATTTCTGATTATGAGTCTCATGGCGTTCATAACTCCTTGGGCATCCTTCACAGTCTTCCCCACTTTTCCATCATCAACTAATAGATCATGATATTTCACAGGGTTAAACAACAGTCACACAAGCATATTCACTCTAATATACAGTCCTTGGGAAAAGTAACCATGCACTCGTGCAAGAAACCATTAAATATATCCTCAAAGTAGTTTAAGCAGTAAGTAGGCCAATGCCTACTCAAGTTAGAGGTATCAAAAATGCATAAAGTCCCTCTTCTAAGTGGCTTGAGCACAAAGTGTCTGAGTCAAGCGTAAATCACTAAGAATGCAACGTACACCAAAAATTGTTCCAATGACAAACAACATTATGGCTTTGGTAGACATTTACCAGAGAACTCTACCGTTAGGGTTGAAAGCAACAAAGGGCAGACACATTACCTAGCACCACACAATTCACAAGCCATTGAAATGCAACATCCTTAGTTCGACAGAAATTACCATATCTCACCGGCAAATCTTATTTTGACGACGTCAAGGGGGTGAAGGAGAAGAGTTGACGCCACGCCACCAGAGACACCAGCAACCAAGTGGTCTAGTTTCTTCCGGCTGCTTGCCATTATGTCTCCAATGCTGGTGGCAGTCCTCGCAGACGTTGTTCCACGCATAGTGACAGCCTATCGTCTGGATTGAAGTTTCTCAGGCTCACGGGTAAAGCCCACCGCCAATCTATTAAATCGACTCGAACGGGGGGAAACTTGCGTTTCAACCACCGGAGGCAGTCGACGAGTCCCTAAGATAGCACGACCCCCCTTTCGCTGAAGTTCTCTGCCTCAATTTGACTAGGGTAGATCGTCCGGTATCGCATCGCGTTGGACGCGCACCACGGAAGCTGGTTCTTCGCCGAACTCGGTTGTGGGCGCTGACGCGATGGTCGTGGAAGGGATAAAAACAGACTTCTCATAGTCACACGATCGACGCGAGTCAACGTAGATGCCGATCGTCTAAAAACTGACTTCTTATAGTCACAGGATCGTCGAGAGTCAACAAGAGGTAAGAACGTCACTCCTCAGAAACCCTGAGGAGACTGAGCTTCGCCGACTCGTGCGCACCGATATGTAGGAGCCCCTAGTCTCGATCAGGGTCACCCGGTACGTTGCTGCCTCGTTGCCAGGCAGGAGCGCCACCTTCTTCGTCTGATGAAACCACCCTTTGAGTCCGCAATTCCCTTCAGGCGGCTGTTGCGTGGGACCGGGCGAGGGGGTGGGCAGCGAGAGGGCGACCGGCCGAGAGAAGCAGAAAAACAAATTCCGTATGCACAATTTTGTAAGAACTTTTCGCAGTCACCGACCCTCCTCCAAAAAAAAAGGGGGTGTGCGTCGGGCGATGCAACGGGGACCAATCGTGGAAGGGGGCAGCTCTGACGTCATCGAAGATTTTCTCGTCACGTGTTCAGTTAAACGTGCCAAGCCCGACGATAGAAAAGCCGGCCAACTTCTCGTATTTTCTTCTCCTTTTCTTTCTCTTTCCTCTCTTCGTTTATTTGCGCACAAATCGCATTAGACCGCCTAATCAAGGTCAGTGTATAGAAAGGATAAACTAGGGACGGGAGAGAGGGTAATCGGGTGACGACTCCATGTACGAAGCGGAAGCAACCCCTTTTCTCCGACTGGATTTCTCGTGGGGAAACCTGCGTCCACGATGATCGATGAGCTCCGGAAAAAAATGGAAATAAGTGGAAAAGTGGCACTTTGAGATACCAATTAAAAGGTATCGCCATTGTGGAAGAGGAATAGGGTACCCATCGATCGGATACATGTTGTCCTTTCTCTGATCCAGCAGACTCATGATTATTTCTGACGAAGTTTCCCCATTATCGATACCAGTGACGTCGCTAGGATTTCGTGGAAGGGCGGGCTAGGGGGAAAGGAGGAGGGAAGGGGAAGGAGGGCATCAATTTCCCCAGCTTCCCCTCTAACATAGCCAGATATTACTATTATCAACCTGCATTCAGATCATAGTTGGGAAGGCTAGAACCAAGCTTTGGCAGACTGAAGGCCCCCAGCCCCCCCCACCCTGCTATGCCTCTGACCGATACGCGTGCTCTACGGTGCATTAAAAAATTAAGGATGGGGGGATAAGAACATTTCTTTTACTTTTTAAAAATGCCGCCACGATTACTGCGTTTGTATTTCATCTTTCCTCTTTCGCGTATTTCCCGTCTCTCGGATCGATTTGTAGACTGAAAGAATGCAAAGACTTCTACAGATCGAGAAAGAGCCAGAAGGAAGCTTCCAGCTCCCTCGCGCCCGACCTTCGTTACGCAACCGCCTGGCTGCGGGGTGCGCGCGGGCGCTTCGGTCCGATCACTGGAAGGGTTTCCGGAAGGGAAGGAGAGGGAAAACGGAGGGAAGACGCAGCTGGATGGATCGTAGGGATACGGACGCACGAGGACGACCGGTCACGTGGGGTCCGAATGATCCTGCGTCTTTCGGATCGTGATCGCGATAGTCGCGAGGCAGTGATGCCACCCGGTGTACCTTGGCTTATGGATTTTTAGTTGCCTTGACCTATAGAAGGTGGAGGCATGGCGCCAAACGAGGCCACTGCGTCCTTGATTCCCCTTTCGTGTTTTCTCAACATCAGGCTAATTGTCTGTTTCGTTGCCTGGCGCATAAATTTGAGAGTCGATTTCGCCGTTTGAGCAGTTTTTAAACTTTTTTTATCCGAATTTTTGCTACTCAAAATCCTGAACTGTCGGGCGTGAGTGTCCAGGCAGATTTAGGATTCCGCTTTTCGGGCATCCCAGACGACCTTTGGATTTCAAGACCACCGAGGAAGTATATATCAATCGACCCAGTGTTGTCAGACGAATCTACCTGTTGTGGTAACATGGCGCTCATCGCCTTACTGTTAAATTAAGGGGCTCAATAGCAGAAATTCGAGAACATCTGGATCCTTCGAGATTTTCCTGGAACTAACAGATGAAAGATATCAAGCGACGTCAGCCTAGCAACAACGCGAGGAAAGGTCAACATGTCGAATTGTAAAAAATAAAATTGAACAAGCCTGCAGGAAAACAGAAAAAACACATGAAATTATTTAAACGTTTAAAACATGTTTAAAAAATTAACGTCAACCATCAAATGGCCGGAGTAAAAAAAGAAAATGGATCAGCTAAGTGAAAAAATTAAGGTCCTTCATCCTTTATTTTTCCTGCTTAGCTCCTGCCACGTTGATGTGAGACTACTTTGTATCGGACGCCTCGATTTCGCCTCCCGATAGCTCGAAGCATCTGGCAGCACTGACAATAGCAGCTGGACCGGATCGGCCGGTTTCATGGGCTCTCGGTCCGCGGTATCAATCATTTATACTTGACGTTTTCAACGTAAACACTTCCCCGGGTAGATAAACACCAGGCCTCCACGAAGAAACGGGGTTCGCAGTCGATACTCTTTCCTGTTTGTATAAAAACGTGGCACGAACATACACCGAATACGTGATGATATTATATCGTGCTTCTCAAAGAGATATTTACCATGCAACGTTTGATTTTAAAAATTTCCCATACAAGTAGAACGTTTAGATCTAGATCTTGAAAAGTACTGATAAAACATCTATGTCTGCATGTTTGAATGAATTATTTCCTTTTCGTAGCTGTCATTCCAATTACCCGATGGAACATGAAATATTGTGGTCTGCTTCTTCTTTTTAAAGAAAAATATGACACAGTCTGCGTGAGCCATTTTAGCAAAAAGAAAACTAGACTGTGATGAAAGCGACCCGCAAAAAATGTGAACTGTGACTCTTTGAATGAATATATAGGAAATCCGGAGCCAAGAAAAAGTCTCATACGTCATGGTGTCCTACTTCCTTCGCGTCTGCCCTGGTGGCTGGATTTTTCCCATGTCAAGGTTCAGGGAAACCTTTTCTTGGGAAGTTGCCATTCTGTTCAATGTTTTTACATTGCTTTCAAAAATTCTACCAACTTCCCTACCAACCAAATTCTAACTTCAACAGTGACTGGAATAGTCGGTTTGCTGCGGGAAATAGGCAGGCGTGGGAGGGGGGGAGGGGGGGGAAGGAGGGGGAGGGGGAGGGGGGGGGAGGAGGGGGGGGGGGAGGGGGAGGGTGGGAGAGAGGAGGAAAGCCGAGCTACTATTTGACCCAATGCCGCCAGGCATGAAATATTTTATCATTTTGCTTCAAAATTCAGTGTCCGATCATCAAATTATAAAGATCTAGGTAAACGTAGACGGTGATCAGGAATGCGATAAAACGCGATCAGCTGAGGTCCGAGACCCACCAGCTTTCCTTTCCTTTTAAATCACAAGCGTGTTGAGATTCGAAGGGGTTAAAGCGTGTTGAGATTCGAAGGGGTTACTTTCTTTTTAAATGAGGTGTGGAAAGGGAGAAAGCAAGGAGCGACACCGACGGACCGAAGATCGGAGGCGAGACTGGAATATGGAACTGTCGACCTCGTCTAGTTCGAGGCGAAACTCGAGTCTCGTCGGTTCCCTCTGGGTCCGGAAAATCCAACCTCGGACCCATTTCCAAGTGCAGAAGGAGACACGTCGAAATCGATTCGAGATGCGTCCGTTTATCGTAGCGCGATGGCGTGAACCTCACGCCCCTTCGAACTCGGCGTGCAGGAATCTTTTGCCGAAGGTTTCTCTTCCCACGGGACCCGAAGCTCCGACTCTGGCATTTCCCTCTTTTGCCCTTCAAGACGGAGCCCAAACTGCGGGCGTATTCCGCGACATCACGAGACTCGAAGTGCAAGGATCAACGAACAAACGGACGAGGGTTATTCCCACCCTCCTCCAATGGAAGAGGATGAGAATAACCCTTGTCCGATGATATCGCACCTGGGATCGCCGCGACTTTGCGAGCACATGTGACGAGAAATGAAAACGAGTCGGGAAGTCGGAATGGACACGGAAGAACAGCGCGTGTCCCGAGATGCAAATCGGACCTCACCCCACCCCCCACTCCCCAACCCACCCCACCCACACCCCACCCCACTCCCCAACCCACTCCACCCCACGCCCTTGCCGTCACGATATACGCCACGCGAAAAGAACCGACTTCCCTGTCCCACCGCTTCCCAGAAATCAGAGATGGAATCGTCGAACCAACGGGCCACCGAGAAGGGCCGCCAGGTCCTCCGATAACCGACCTCCCTAATTCGATCCACGTGCCGTTTGCGTGTTTTTTCACGGCCGACCTCGCTCCTCTCCGGGATAAAGGATTCCGGGTCACTGGGGAGAGAGAAAGACGCTGATGCAATATCCGAAGAAGCTGATGCAAGGTCCGAGGGAGATAGCGTCAAATCCTTCCGCCCCGAGGGGACTTCGTTTTCGTCAAGTCTCGGGCACGAACGCCGAATCCTCGCCGAGTTAACGGGCCTTCATAAATAGAGATCCAGGAACTCTTGCGGAGAAAAAGTGGACCAGAGGACTCCTAAGAAAGGATTCTAAGAGTGCAAGCGTGTGTGAATGAACCAATCCTGACTCATATATTCCAGCTGAACATAACAGGTACTAAAAATAAAAATAAAATAACATTTCTTCCGAGAACAAAAGGAATATAAAAATAGTTTCTAAACCGCAAAAAAAAATTAATGAAAAAAAAACATGAACAAACAAAAAACAAGATCATGTTATATAATGACCAAGTATACTAACAGAAATTCTTCACTACCCCTAGAGACCCCTTATGGGAAAACACCACCTGGGGCCTGTTTCATGGAATTTACAAGTTCCACAAGTTACAAGTACTTGCAAGAGTCATGTCTTCTGGTTTAACTCTTCCAGCTGGTCCCGCTGGCCCTTCGCGCAACTACGACACGACCCTTACAATTACTTGTAACTTGTTACTTGTTGAACTTGTAAATTCCATGAAATAGGCCCCAGGTGGCTGGCCGGGAACCAACTCAACCGCATGATTCTTTAGGGCCATAGGGTGGAGAGGGCCACAACAAACCGCATGCATCTATCATCACTTGGACCGACTCGATAATCATATTCTATATTCTTTACTGTATATTCTACTTCATCTCACTCTACCCTTTTGCAAAGGGATGATCTTGTAAATAAAGGTCATTGATGAAAAAAAGGAGAAAAGTGCTCTTTAGCTTTGCTCCTTTCGTAATTGAAATTCCCATACTTTTGCAAGGCAAAAAATGAACATTTAATCGCTGCCTTTGATTTGATGTACTTTCGTCATTGCTTAAAGGTCCATTTATCTCGCGTAAACGAGGTTACAACAGTGCGTCTAACTCTGTATTCACTCGTCGGCAATTATATTCCACTCAATTTGAGCAATTTCGCGTTCGCGTGAGTGATCCTCGAAAGACAGCCGCCCCCAGAGTCCCAAGGGGACGGACGGCACCGGGCCACGGTTCGCTCGTGGCATCCGCACGAAATGGTCTCCGGACATTTCGGTCGCATATGAGAAAGAGGGAAAAAAAATGCTCCACACTCTACGAAGATGCAATAACTTCTGCCCAGCTTCCTCGGCTGTGTCGGAGCCGGGGGAGAGGGCAAGATGTTAAAAGGACGACCCCACACGCT